ATGGCGGCCCCTCTGGCATATACTGCATCACAGTATTCCTGAAGTGCTTGTGCGGACAAAATTCGGTGATTCCACTGCGTAATTAGATGACCGTGTGTGTTATAAATATGATCCAGTACTTCATTGAATACCATACTTAGTACAGGCACTGGCATCCCAAAACGGTGAATCATGTCRCTATACCTACACGGGTAAGCTAGTCGTTTAAGAACTATGCAAAGACCTTCTAATCCGCTTGCTGTAGATCCTTGATAGCATATCAAGTCGTCAGGAATTTGAAGGATATCAGAAAGCATGTTAAGATGGCRTTTTCGTACTCGGAACTCAGCAAAACATTCAGCGTCATTCATATCATCTAGATCCAATCGTTGATAATCTGAATGCACAAACTTGGGGTTTTTCGGCTCAACTCTTCATACAATAGCAAAAATTCTTCGTCGTTAATAAGTTTGTTATCGTGACTTAAAATAAGCAGTTGTTGAAGCTCATGAAATGAGACCATTTTATCGGCGACGTTGAGTACAACTCAAGTACAACTTAACCTTTGTTTACTCTCGCCGTGGACGACGTTCTCGTCTTAGTCCCCACTCGGACAAACTCGTCGTCGTCGTCCTATTTCGTCGACATTCTTAAGGTCCCTAATGGGTTGAACTTGCCCTTAACGATCTAGGGGAAATTTCCTAGGGATGCGAATGGTGCCCAAGTTCATGAGGTTATCTTRAAATCCTTCCCTTGCCTTGCCGGCGGATATGAGCTCTTGAGAAATTCAGGGCCGGGGGAAAGAACTTATGAAGATTCCTATACCTAATAATGGATTCTCAGTTGACTACCTCAAAAGTGTACTTGGCAAAGCGAAGGATTTTTAAGGCCACTCCAGAACGACATTGTTCTGGAAGGTACTTCAAATCAGGTGAAAAAAAAATATATTTTATACTGAAATATTTTATTAAAAAGGTGTTATTTTAAGGCCTGGTTCAGACGCCGATCTTTTGCTGAGTCGACTTCAATACCCGTTTCATATGTCAAACTCGCTTGATTATTCAGTATAAGGCCGGTGTTTGACAAATAAAATAACTTATTTCACTTTTTTATTTTATCCTTGGACAATATTTRAAACTAAACAGTTTACTTCAAAACATAATTTCAATGTAAGTTCACTGAATAACTCAATATCGCTCAATATCGATCCATTCCTGAGAGTAAATGAGTCCGGCTACCCAACTATTGGTTGAGAGAAAGAAAAGAATGAATGCGCACGCTTTCATACTAGAATCGGCGCGCGCTCTTAGTGAAATGCGGATTACCTGTGGTATTACGATTCAAACAAGTCTGTCACAGACTACAATCGTTGCCAAAATACCTTGGACCGTACAATTATTTGCCTTCAGCCTAACATTTTTCTCCTTTATTTTTTGACAGTTTTCCCCCGTCGCCCCCTTTCATCAATGTTGGGTCTTGTTTTGGATGCTTGTGTACTATGGTAACATGATCAATGACAACATTGCATTTTGGGGGTCAGGGGGGATGAAATGGTGTGAGGGTGTTGCTTAAAATGAGGAAATTCGCTGGAATGGTCCAAGGTTTTTGTCAACGATTGTAGTTTGTATTCCGCGAGGCGCGGGTTCGTGACGTAAAACAACCCGCAGCGCGCGCCGATTCGATAACATAGAGCGGATTTCGTATGACTGTGCAAAAAAACAGGGTACGTCGTGCTTTATCCGTACCGTGCCGTAGCCGTGATGCATTGGAAAATCTTTACTTTCATTTGAAATCCTAGAAGGCGAGGTTCAATGACCGTGCCGTGTTGTGATCCGTGTTTTTGCACGGTCATACAAAATCCRCTCTACCCGCGAGGCAAGGGATCAATGACGTAATACCACAGGAAACCGGCACTGCGCGCCAATGCGATAAGATATATTAAACGCGTGCGCATTCATTGTTTTTTTTCTTTCAAGCAATAGTTGGGTAGCCTATGACTTGGGCAAGTCTACAGAGAAGGAGGAAAGCCATCGGCAGCTTGAAAGACAAATTTTACTGTTTTTATTATTGTTGAAAAGAAATTAATAATATTGTTTTTAATGTCATATTCATCAAAAGAGATTGAGAGTACATTTAATGATTATAGGGAGAACAATCAGCCAGTGAAGGTATTCATGCAGGTCCTATGGTTGACTGTATGAATTGTGGGGGTAGTTTTGCCATGTCAGTCATACGTGAGCACCATCCCGTATGTAATGGTGGTGACAGTACAAGTGGTGCACCAAAGAATGAGCAAAGATA